TCAGCACAGAGGCAGTGGCTGTGCGGCGTCAGGGGGGCTGCCACCGGCCCCAAGCATCCTCCCACGCTGCCAAAGGAGCGAAGGGCTTTGGTCTGTCGCCACGTCGCGGAAGGCAGCGGCAGGTTGTGCCTGGTGGCTCCCAGTTATGCACGATGACGTTCTGGACATCGCTACAGCTGCTTGTGGCTCTCAGGTCCCTTAGAATAACCCTACAGTCTTATGTGTAGAGCAGCGAGATGGGTCTGGAATAACAGACACCTACAAACACTTAATCAGACGGTACATTTGCGTTTCAAAGCAATGCCCAAGAGGTGAGGCCAGCATCTGGAAGTTAGCTTGCGTCACAGCGGCTTTTAACGGCCACTTCCAGGAAAGCAAGAAAGAAGTGAAGTGTGTCTGATTAGATAAACACACATAATTTCCAACAGTCTAAAGAGTCATTAATTACACACCTCGGTCCTCAGGTGCTTTTGTACATTTGCAATAGCATTAAACCGCTGGCCAGAAACCATTAATCTCTGATCTGAGAAAACCTGCCTTCCTCTTTGTTAATTTAATATACGCAGTCAGCTGAGACTACCCCAGCAATTAGGGCACACGGAACAATTTGTCTTTTTCAGTTGTTTTGATACTGGCGTTCCTCTGTTACCATGTGGATTTCACATTCAGTTGACCTAAGAGGAGAAGAACTTAGGAGTTAAACACTCAACTTCAGAGCCATCCAACCGAGCTATTTTCTTCCCGAAGAAAACACAACCAGCACCGGGGCCAAACGCCGGTCTCGCAAAAGCCCCTGGTTCTGCCACCCCCCCTCACCACGAGCTGTCCTGCAGGTGAAGCAAGCAGCACCACTAAAACAAGCAGCTAAAAGAATTAAGAGGCTACCTATCAGTCAGGGCTATCATAAACCAGATCAACGCAGGCAGCAATTCCCACCGCGCTCGCGGGAGCTTCTCCCCTTCACTCCACAGCAGCCAGGCTCGGTAGCCCACACGTACTCATCTTCCAGGAGAGCAGAGAGATTTCCATACTCACAAGCACCCCACGACAGAAGGAGTCCCATTAACTTTCTGTCTCTGACCAGGACATTCCCTCAGATGGCTCCAGACGTAACTTTCAGCCTCCTCCAAATTATTCTTTCCAGAAATACCTGCAGCACCACCTAATACTCAGCAAAAGTTCAACTCTGCCTTTTTCTCCCCAGTGCTGATCAACAAGCATCGGCAGCAGCAGCCATGGATGCAAAAGCTTGAGCAGCTGAAAAACCTGGGTCTGTTCCTCTGGAAGGTTTTTTCCCCTGTCTCCAGTATTTATTGGCATGTTTACCAAGCCTGCTGCAGAGTAACGGAAAACCTCAGGGGCATTTCTAAATGCTCTCTCTGTCTTTAAGGTTTACTGAGGTCTCTAATAGAGCAAGTTGAAACCTTCTTGTGAACATCAGGTGAGCAATGCTACTGACTGGCTGTATTCATGCCTTGTTTTCCTGGAGCTCCTCAGATGTTGTTCTTTTCAGTGCTTAGGGTTGTTGTTTCTTTTTAAAATATTTTTTTTTCTCAAAAGCTCTCCCCCTGCCCCCACCCCGTGATCTCAACGCCACCATGAACCAGGGTGTGGGGTTTGGTTTTTTTTTTTTTCCTTTACATTTTGCTTTTGCAATTTGGTTCCTGAGGCGAGTTTAACGGTTTTCGCATTCCTGTATTTTAAAACTCGACGAAGCAGTTACCTCCCTCCCTAGAAGGGAGCAACAAACTCCAAGGAGGAGGAAGCTTACTTCAACAGAGCAGATGGGGATGCTTGTGTGCTTGCTTGCATGCATAGGACATCTTTGCTTCCTCCAGCTCCTTTGTGTATCCCTTCAGGTCCTTCATGTATCCCCCCCATCTCACAAACTCCCTATTCTTCTGTCTTCGGGACGCTAACCCAACATATCCACATCCAATACCCATCTTTTTTCTCTGTCTCACATCCCCACCCTGCAGAGATGGCGACGGCCCCTCTGCACATCCTTGTGCTACCTGTGATGACGTGGATACAGGGACCTTTATCTGCAATCTGTTCTTCACAGGCAGAAGCTTGGTAGTGCATGCTCCCTACCTTCCTCGGGCTTTTTAAGCTGATCAGCATAGAACAACACAGGTTGCACATCTGATCAAAGCTAAACCAGAGAGATGACACGGTGTGCACGGCGAGCAGAGCATCTCCCCCCCGCCATTCTTCTCCTGTCCCCTTGGTATCTGTCACCAGCTCCATACTGCCAGGAAGGGCAGGATCACTATGGTCTCCAGGGGGAAGGACTCAATTCCTGTGCCACAGGCAAGCCCTGCGATATGGAAGGTCTCAGTTTTCAGGGTGCAATTAGAGGAGAAATGTTAATGTAGCAAAAATTCTCTAGCAGCACCTTGCTACAAAGTGAGATTTAGCCACAGAAAACACAAGGA